CCTTGTAGTCCCGAAGTAATGGAAAGGAAAGATTGAGCTGTATTTGTTGGTTGAGTGTTGAAATATTCCATGGAAAAGGGAAAGGGAAACAAGTTCTACCACTGGTTTTTCTTGGCAGGTTTTATCACCTTCCCCCCCAAGTTTCTGGCAAGTGTGATTAGAAATTGACTTGCAGGATTTGCTCACACTCCTTTCCAAGACATCTTTTGCTTGCTTGCTGCTGACTAGCAGTAGTTAATTTGCTATCTCTCACACATGTTATCCAAAAATCACAGAACTCATTAGAAATAAACAGCATGAACTTGGTCCTCACATTTGGAGGATTAGCCAGATGTAAATCTAAGTTGCACTTGGGAGGTTGTGTGGGCCTCATTTAAAAATAAATAGAACTCTAGCCTTGAGTAGAAACAGATTTTTTTTTTAAATGAAATATCTTACTGGAAAACAAATTTTATTTTTTCAATAAAAAATATGGGGAGGAGGTAAGCTTTTCTGGACGCCAGTGCTTATTTTATTCCTTGCCCTTTTTCTCCTCCTTGCTGATGGCAGATGTGGCAGAAATAAAGACCCAATTTTATTTTCCAAAATGGGAAAAAATTTAATCAATTCAGGAATTTATCCTTAATTGACAGCAGACGTTTAAAACCTGATTGGTCACGGTTGACTATTTCATGTGCCTTTTAGGAAAACAAATATACATTCATGTGTTTCCCAAACCATGTACACTCATGACATAGCAGGTTATTGAGGTGTCGGCCTTGAGGATCTCTCATTCTGAGAGCTTTTAAAAAAAAACATTTCTCACTAAGAGAAATTGAAGAGCTATGTTTTGTGTGATTATAATACATGATTTATGTGATTAGAAAATTTCTGTTTTCTATTGATATGCAAACTCCCTGCCAGCAATACCAAATATTCATCTGCCACCTGTTTTTAATTCCAGCAAAACCTATAATCAGAATGGAATTAAAAATACCTTACCTTTGAAGAATCAGAAAAAGAATTCAAATATATTTGAAACGTTTTTGTTTATCCTTCCAGATCATACCAAATCAGATGAGTATACAAATGCCAAGGGGTTGACTCTACCAGGTAGCGATTATATTTCATGCAGACACATAAATTGAGTTAAAGATCTTCTAGAGACTTCCCCAGGAACTGAGTTNAAATAAATAAATAGAAAAATAAAATAGGGGTAGCAGAACTGGCGCCAAAACCATGTCTCCCTGGATGTTCCAGCTTTCTCCACATAGGGGGAGGGCTTAGCATTCTGTAGTGAGTCCCTGGCCCGGCTCCGGAGCAGTCAAGTCCAAGGCCAGTCTTAAGGGTATAATTTAATAAACAGTCAACTTTCCAACTTTTTCAATAGGAACCTATAAGGTAGACAGAGTTGTGTACTGAAACCTTTCTCTAGTGTGTCCTTCAGTTTATTCTTGCCACTTTTGACTCAGTTTCCCTTTCTCTCCTAGTACTCTCAGGACACTACGGAAGCGTTAACACCCAGCATGTTCAGCTCAGGTAAGAGACTGTGGATGGGGAAGTTTTCCAGATGAAGGATTGGACTGCTTCCCTTTGTGGCTACAGCCTGGGGGTGCTTGCTCTTTCCCGGGCTGCCCCAAAGATCCCAATGATCACCGTTCCCCTGGTTCTTCGCACCTCCTTAGAGGGAGGTGCAACGGCAGATGTCAACTGTATCTGTTGTGTTTTCATTTTTTTTTTTTCAATGTATATCTCTTCAAGATAAGAACTCTTTGTGTTTTGAAACAAATACAGTACTACTTTCACACCTAAAACAAGAGTTAACAATAATTCCTTCAAATCAATTATCCAGTTAATGGTCAATACTCCCCTTGTAGAGACAGATATTGTAAAATCAAATCACTTAGGGATGTGATGTACAACATGATGACTATAGTTAATACCGCTGGATGGTATGTTTGAAAGTTAAGTGAGTAGAATCCAAGAGTTTTCATCAAGGAAAAAACCATTTATTTCCCTCTTTTATATATATATATATATATATATATATATATATATATATATATATATATATATATATATATATAATTATGTGGTACATTTGAAGTATATATAGTGCTGTATGTTAATTATATCTCAATAAAACAGGAAAAATAAAAGTCTCTATTTGGTATTTCAAATATTTGAAGGTGCTAGAAGTTTAGCCTAGAGCAGTGGCCCTCAAGGTGTGGTCCTGAGATCAACAGCATCAACATTTTCTGGAAACTTGTCAGAAATGCAAATAGTTGGACCCTACCCCAGATGGGCTACAAAAGAGACTCTGGGAGGCGAGTGTTTTAACAAGCTCTCCAGGTGGTTCTAATGCACAGTACAGTTAAGGAACCACTGCTCTAAAGAAAACCAAAATTTTGTTCTCTGCACACCCTATTTTACACTTGTCTTTGTGTTTATCAGAGCATCGTATCCCGAGACACTCAAAATACTTACCCCCGGTCACTGTGATATAACTAAGAAATATGTATTTTGGTATTTGTCACTGTGTCCTGACCAGAGTTCCTAAAAACCATGTAATTTCCTAAGACCAATAGGAGTATCTTTTGTTCTAATACTTGGTTATTGTCCCTAACTCCTGAAACAGCTCTGGAGTGATAAAGGTAAAAGGACCATCTTTTGTTATTCAAAACAAGTCCCTTTCAACTACACCTGAGTTTGTGTTAATGAGTTGACTTTTGGAAACCCCTAAATAAGGGAGCCTGGTTGCCATGGGAAACCACTTGTGATTAGAGGATTGGCAGCTCCAGGGAAGGCAGAGGGGCTGGAGGTTGAGTTAATCACCAGTGGCCAATCACTTCATCAATTATACCTGCTTAATTGCCCTATAAGAAGGGGTTTGGGGGAACTTCCGGTTTTATAAGAGTTTAGAGAGCTTCCAGTTGAACTGGAGTGTGGAAGCTCCGCATAGCTTGCCACAGGATCTTTCCGTCTGGTAGTTCCTGAGTTGTGTCCTTTATAATACACCAGTCATCTGGTAAGTAAACTATTTGC